GTATGGTTCAAGGGGTAGAATGCCTGCATATTAAGTGCAAGGCCCTGAGTTCCTGCCCTAGTACCAAGAAAAATGTTCCCCATCCTTGTATTTTTTCCAGTCTCTATAACTTCTGATAAGAAGTCAGTGTTGATTCGTTTAAAGCATTTTCCTCTGAAAAGAACAATTGAGCCATTTTATTCTGGCTACTATCAAGGTACCTGAGGCTCAATTAATTATTTTTTCTGTTCAAGTGCACATTTTTTTGTGTGTGCTTCAAAAAGAAATGTTCTATGGATCTGTCTTCAGGTTCAAGAGCACTTTTATTGGTTACCTCCAATTGCTGTGAGTCTACTCAGTGAATTTTAATCTCAAATATTGCATTTTCAGTTCTATAATTATTTGTTTTGGCTTTGTATTGGGTTGCTTATTGGCTTTTGTGGTGCTATTGATTGAACTCAGGGCCTCATACTTGCTAGGCAGGTATTCTATTATTCAAGTCATGCCTCTAGCTCTATTTTTGCTGTAGTCACTTTGGGGACTACATGGCTGGACCATGATTCTCTTGTTGACACTTTTCCTAGATGGCCATGAATCAGTGTACACTGCTGTCAGATGGGATGAGGGTCTCATGGTAGTCTATGCTGTTTGTGTAGATTATCCTTGAAGCAAGGTCCAGTTTCTTGCTTTTGAGTAGTTAGGATTATAAGCAAGAGCCATCATCCCCAACTTCTTTTTTATATTCTGCATTTATCATTCCTTACTCAGTCAAAGTATATTTTCCTGATCTTCATAGAACCCAGTTATTACTACTTCAAAATCTTTGTCCAGTAATCCTTACATTTGGGGGACTGCTCAAAATTCCTCAACATTGCTCATACTTTGTTGGCTCTACATATATCACACGATTGAATGTCATGGTGTGAAAAGTCTGAATTCATTTTCAATTCTCTGATGACTATTGATTTATCTGTTTCAGCCAGCAATTAATTTGGTTACGTTCAAATTGAAAGCATTCTCCTGGGCAGTAGCTCAAATCTCAGATCAGTTCTTTCATTTTGAACTGTGTTAATCTGTTTCTACGCTTTACATGAATTACTCAGGCAACAGCCTAAACTGTTTATACTACAGAATTAGGAGCTTCCCTTCTCTGCCTCTCTTCTTCCAAGATTCTAAGCTCATGGTCTAGTGGTTGTCAGGGACCTGCCCTTTCCACTGGGTCTTCAAAGCTAAAAGATGGAAGGGTTTTGTTTTGTTTTGTTTTTACTGAAGATTAGCTATCTCAAATGAAATAAACGATACAAAAATAGGCAATTCACAGAGCACTGGCGCAGGCTTTCAACTTTATCTTCATCTATTTTCTCATCCAGTGATAGTTAATTTTGCTTCTTTGTGTATTTGTTGTTGTTGTTCTTATTATTTGATTATTCTTTTATTACTAGAAATGGAACCCATGGCCTCATGATGCTAGGTAAGTGCTTTCCTGCTGAGCCATATTCCAGTCCTGGTTTTAGTTTTAAGAAGAAAAAGAAGTCGGACTCAGGGATACCTTGATCATTTTACCAACTACATGAAAATATGTGGAACAAAAGCACAGTATAAAGTTAAATGATAAAGTATCAGTCAGATTTGACTCTTAGCCTGGCTGTGTTCAATTTCAAAGTCATATATTTTGTGCAGAATCTACCAAAGATTATCAAAAGATTATCTCCCAAAGACTATCTACCAGGTATTCTGACACAATGTTTTTACCTCACGTTGGGGTCTCAGATATTTCTATATCTTATCTCACTGAAAGCAGCAATAGGTAATATTCTAACAGAAATAAAGTATTAAAACTCCTTCAATAGTACCCGAAGTTAATAAGTACACATTTCCTTTGAATAATAATCATTATTGCATCCATTTCTGCATGCAAGATACCTTTCTAAACCACTTTACATAAATCATCATTTAATCCTTCATAACCATTCTATGAGGTGGTTCCTATAATTATCCTCATTCTATAAAGGAAGAGTCCAGACTTCAGAGAAGTTAAGTGAACTGTCTGAGATCAAACAACAAATAGCAGAAATCTTAGAGAAAAAGAAAACTGCAAAGAGGATATACTTGAAATCATTAGGAACATGCCCTTTATTGTAAGCAGAAAGAAATAGTCATTCTAAACACAGAGGAATAAGTGAGATTTCTAAAGCCTGAATATAGTCCAAAATCCCTCCCTCTCATAATTGCTGATAACAAAATGCTACCCTTTCAGATATATATTTTATATTGACAGCATTCATGTTAAAAAGAATCTTGCTTCAGGGTTTACAGGACTAAACAGAGCAACAATAACAAAAATATCAAGCCACTACATGCAAAATCTCACAGTAGGAATGCACATAATACCAGTGCTCCATTTCAAGTCATTGTATTTATTACTTTTAATCCTTTTTCCCAGGGAAAGGCTCTTGATAGGCAACTGACTCACTAGGGCTAGGCACTTAGCAAGTAGAGATGCCTGCTTTATCCCTCCAAAACCTGGGTTTAGTGAAGGATGCAGCAATGTCTCACAGATTTAAAAATTCTAGGGGCAAATCGGTCCAACTTCATAAGCTTTGCCTACATAAAGTCATGGGTTTCAAATGAGAGAAAAGGAAGGCAGGGCCAAGGATAAGTAAGCATGCAATGCAAAATAGACAACACTGAGATCTTCCTGAAAGCTAGACAAGGAGTATAGCATTTTGGACGTGGGGAGGACATAGACTATTCAATAGATGCAGATTTCCTGTTTGGTGAGAACCTAGGATTTCCCATAAGGGGAATATATTGGCAGACAAAAGAATGATAGGAAAGAAGAGGAGTATAAGATCATGTCATCTGCAAAGTCGGGGAGTTTTTGCTTCATCTTTCCCTATTTAAATCCCCTTTATGTTTGCATCTTGTCTTATTGCTCTTGCCAGGCATTCTAATACTAAATTAAAGAGAGTGGACATCCTTGTCTCATTCCTGAATTTAGATGAAATGGCTTTAGCTTTTCGTCATTAAGGAACATAGGTCCCATGGTTTCCCTTATCTGCAATGACTAGTATATGTCTGGGACAAGCAGAAGAGGTCAAAAGCTATGTATAACCTGATACTAAGCAAAATGAACCCCAAGATAGGGACACAAGAGATTTTATATTTCTTGTTGTTATTTTTAATGTACTTATAAGGTACTGTGTGGGGTTTTTTTGTTTCTTTGTATGTTCTTCCCCCATGGTACAACCCCTGTTGTCATTGTATTTGATTCTGGTGCCCTGCATCTTGTATACACATTTTTCTAATTTGGGGAGGGGAAGGCAAATAACAAAATGCTGAAATAAGGATACAGGAAGACCCATCGTAACAATGAGATGTACAAGACAGTATGTTGAAAATGAACTTTACAACTTTCCAGGGGGGGAGGATTTGGGAAGGTGGGGAGGAAAGGGATGGTAGGGGAAAAATAAAGGAGGGGGTAACAATGCTTAATAGGATATAGACTCATTACCTTGCTCATGTAACTGTAACACCTCTGTACAGTATCTTTACAATAAAAAAATATATTAAGAAAATAAAGGAAAGGAGTAGTTCCATGAGGGTAAAGTTAAATGAACATAACCAAATAGGCATGGTGATGCATAGCTATAATTCTAGCACTTGGAAAGCTGAGGCAAGAAATATCAATTTCCAGACTAGCCTGAGCTAGAAAAATCCTGCTTCAACAAAATTAAAAGAACAACAAATAAGCAAGCAAGCATACACATTTACCCTGTGCTGAAGAAATTACCAGATTAGTATTACAACAGGAAAAGTTATGATACCTTTCCTGACCAACTATAAGCATCACAATCACAATCCTATAACGAAAGACAGTTAAGAGAAATTTTTAACAGATGTATCTAATTCATGTGACATAAGATACTTCAGAAATGAAACCCTACAGGTTTGATCCATTTTTATGCTTTGATTTAAAAAAATAACTAGCCACTTAGAAATGTAATTGAACACAGAAGTTATGAATTAAGGTAATGGACTAAGAAGAAAAAGCCAGAAAGGCCTATCAGTTTATATTTTTTGTTGGTCTTTCTGTGTGGCCAAGATTCCTTTTTTTCCAGGTACAGCACAAGACCCTTTCTGGAATGAGGGAATGTAGGACCTACTATCAGACAAGCAAGGTAAGAAATAGAATTTTTGTACAGTTTACCCTTACCCAAGAAATTTTCACAAGAAAGTTAGAGTAATATTTCTCGGTTTTATGGCTGGCTTTGAAGAAGGGAGATTCTAGTTTCTACAGACTGTGGTGAGGAAGAATGGGGAGCAGGAAAAATCAGAATGAGACTGCTTCTGAGCCCCTGCCAATGTCCTTCCATTCAGAGTACACAATATGCCAAGCTCCATTCTTTGGAGGATGCTTTTCTAAGCACTGACAGTATGCTTGTTTTCCTTTATTGCTATAATTTTGTAAAAGATACATATTTAACTTATCCATTGAAACTATTCAAAGATGTATAAAAGGCAAGTAATCCCCAAACCATTTTAGAAGGTAGGTCTCATGGGAGAAACCTCCTTCTGTTGCTATTTCTTTTCAATTCCACCATCATGCTCAAAGCCATGTATGGCACAACACTTGACTTTGTAACTATTTCATCTTCTTTTACACACAAAAAATATTAAATATGTGTAACTGTCTGACTGGGGGGGGGGACAATATAATGGCCTGTCAATCAGGTAACAGTTAAGCTACACTTCACAAAAAGAGAAGGTAATGCTTCTTTCAGAAAGTCAAGTCATCACTCCTTCATTTAACTGACATAATATTTATACTCCAATTTTAAGCTGGGAGCTACAAATAGAAATCGAGAGAGGGTAAATTCTCTAAGGGAATCTAGCTTTGACACATTACCATTTTAAAAGCTCTGTTTTGTATATAAAGGGGGTGTTACTAGTGTTATAAGGATGTCTATAGGTCAGTTATGTCATATGCTTAAAAAAATTAAAACTTAAGCCAACACTACCTTTCAGACCACTGCTGTGTCTCCGTCGATCCCACAGCTCAGGCTGCAGAGACTTTCTGCAACAGGGGCAAAGCCAAGAGGTCGTCCTAGGACACCTATACCAGGAACAAGAAATCCAGAGGATTATTTTAGGGGTGGACCAGACAGCTTCCAGGTACAACTTCATTAGGAACATTCACTGTGAGTACTGAGCTGGCATCAGTTAAAGCTTGGGTGCAATTTCAGAAGGCTCATCATTACTGTGCAGAAGAGTGATGTGACTCAGGGAAACTTAAGTAAGTCATAGAGGACCACACAAAGGAAGTAGCAGGAGGACAATCTCCACCTGCAGAAATGCACAGTTTAGAAACTGAGGCGTTCATTGTGTAAACACATGATCCAGACCTGAGAGTCTGGTATAAAAGATTCCTTCCTGGCTTTGTGGTGTTCTATGACAAATCCTCTGATGAAGCAATTGTGGGCCACTTTACTTCCTTTCCTTTGGCACCCTAGTATCCACTAAAATCTGAAGGAATATTACCAGGGAGAGTTGGCCTAAATTTGCATCCTAGTATTGAACTGTTTCTGTGACCTGTATAGCTCTTCAACTCTATTGATCTTCACATCCACCTCTGTCAAATGAAGGGTACTTTTTTGTCTAAATGAGGATCAAATACCAAGTATAGTTTCTGGAACATGTTACACAAATTGAGGCCACCATACTCCCATCTTATTTGCAAAGATCTCTCTAAAGCAGAGAAGTGACAAAGAAGCCAAAGAGGTCTCATTGCTCATAAATCACTCTAAGACATAGTACTAATTCCTCACCTGGTAAGCCTCTTTTCTGCTCTAATTGTTACCTCAGTATACTATTCTTGGAAATTAAAAAAATACATCAGAATAATGAACATCAATTCATTCTCTAAGATTTTGCTTAAGGGCCATTGTTTCCCTTTTTTAAATCAAATAACTTTGGATCATGTCATCTTATTTAGTCTGCTCAAGTCTGTAACCAGAAGCATTGCAATCATTCTTTCAACAAATATTTATGAAGATTATACTGAGATATATCAAGTCCCAGTCGTTATAGTAATGAAAATATAGTCCTATATCCTTCTGTCTGGTTGCCTACATTCTAGTGAGGGAAGACAGATAAACAAAATAAATATGCAAAATACATGGTTGCTAAATAGTGTTAAGTGCTATGAAGAAACAAGTAGAAAGGGAAATCATGTTATAGGTTGAACTATGTTCCCCTTGCCTTTCAGAAAAAAAAATGTTGAATTTCTGATCACTAATAAAATTTCTGATCCTAAATAAAATCAGAACATGATTTTATTGAATATGTAAAAAGTTAAGTTGATGTCATTCTAGAATAGGATGGCCCTCTAATCCAATATTTCTGGTGAACTTGTAAAAAGATGACACTTTTCCAGACAACAGTGGCTCATACCTGCAATCCTAGCTACTCAGAGGGATTATGCAAGAAAGGCATTTAAATATGAGAGTATAGATGTTTCATAAATAATATCATGTGAATATTAAAGCAAAAAGGAAAATTAAGAGTATATATGCATTGTAGATACACACACATATGTGTCTGTTACAGTATAAACAATGGACAGGTCAAGTATATTTCAAATTTATGATAGGGAATTTTGGCTAAGGTTACAGGTAGGAGATAAGGAAATAAGGAAAGGACAAGTCATGTTATTTAAAAGAGAATATAGTTATCAATAATTTTTGAAAGAGAAGAACAACACTGGAAGCAAGTCTGAGCCATCCAAAAGAGATCTTTATTATTGGGTAATAGAAATAAAAGCCAGGTGCTAGTGGCTCACATCTATAATCTTAGCTACTCAGGAGGTTGAGATCTGATGATCGAGGTTCAAAGCCATCCTGGGCAGGAAAATCCATGAGACTCTTATCTCCAATTAACCACCAGAAAACTGGAAGTGGAGCTTTGACTCAAAGTGGAAGAGTATTAGCCTTGAGCAGACAAGTTCAGGGACAGTACACAGGCCCTGAGTTCAAGCCCCATGACCAATAAAGATAACAAAAAAAGAAAAGACTTTGTTATACTTACATTTAAAAAAAATTTGATGGGCTGGGAAGGTAGCTCAGTGATAGAGTGTTTGCCTTGCATGCACGAAGCCCTGGGTTCAATTCCTCAAAACCACATAAGTAGAAAAAGCCACTGTGGCTCAAGTGGTAGAGCACTAGCCTTGAGCTGAAGAGCTGAGGGACAGCGCCCAGGCCCTGCGTTCAGGCCCCATGACTGACAAACAAAAAAAATTGAAAATAAAAAGGAGAAAAGGAGGGAGCAAGAGAAGGATGGAAGAAAAGGTAGAAAGGAGAGATAGAGAAGTAGGAAGGGAGGGAGTCAGGAAGGGAAGAAGAGAGAGGGATGGAGGGAGGGAGCTTATCACCACTTCTGGGGTGCATTTAAGCTGCTCACAGGTGGTTGGTTTCCTGAGGATAAATTTCAAAACTATTTTTTGTATTGCTTTTTTATTTTGGTTGCTTCGTCTCTGTGCTGTACTGAGATCAAACCCAGGGCCTTATGCATAGTAGGTATGTGTTTTGCCACTGAGCTACACCCTCTTGTCCCATAACTATGCTTTGATAATCAGTGAGACAATGATTCCTCCTCGGCTGTCATAGCATGGAGGACTGAATTTAATTTCAGCCAGCAGAGGGAACCATCTGTCATTTGGAAGGACAAGGAGTCCTCTGCCAGGGGACACCAGAACACTACCAGCAGCCGTCACCTTCAGCATATCCCACACACCCCTGAAGCCACCAATACCACAGGAAAGAAACAATACACAGTTACAAAATGAACCCACAGACATCTTTTCAACCTTTCTAAAAAGCACACTGCAATTTTCTAGAATCCAGGGAACAATATGCTTGATTAGTTCTTCAGCAGCCTTAACAATTTTGCTTTTTCATATTTCTATCCTTGCAGCAAGTTAGTCATTAACCTCACATGTTCTAGGCATTGAGATGAGCTTTTCCCCCTACAAAATGGAACCTTTGCTTTCAAAAATGAATTTGCTTTAGGATAATTCATTTTGGCCATTACTAATCAAAGCTGCTCTCTGAGCCAAGAAGGTCATTCTTTAAAGAGGCTGGACTTGGGGAAAATGCTTCTTGTCTTTCTAGAGGCAGAATTTATGAAGAAAAAAGCTTACAGGAAAGTTCACTAATCATGAAATGAAACGCTGACCTGAACACTCCCTTTGAGACAATTATTATTTGTTTAAAAATGCCTTATTTGAAGACTTACTTGGGAGGCCCTAGATTTTTAGAAAATTGTAAGCCTAACCCTTTAAAGAAAAAAAATATGGCAATCCTCCAATTATTATTTTTTTGCTACTAGAAAGCAGAAGGTACAATCAAATGCTGGATTTTCCTTAACTGCTTGCCTACCCCCCCCCACCCTGCCTCCAGCCCTAATATTTAAATATCATCAGTTTGTGTTTTGTATCCTACAGATGGGGTTTAGATTGGTTTGAATCAAGAAAAAAAAACCAGGTAGAAGGGGAATTTCAGGAAGAAGTTACAAATGTAAATGTGTTATTTTGTGTCTCTTAATTTGGGGGATGGTAAACACGATTCCACACAGGGAAATTAGACTTTTCAGGGCTAATACTATAGGGAATCATTTAATTTGTCTGCCCAAGTAATCATCATAATATGGCTACTGTGCACTGCAGTACAGACCGAGTTTTCAATTTCAAATGAACACATGAAGTACGTAAGTCCTTATGGACTGAGCTGCAGCAAAGGCTGGTACACTCAGCAAGGCTGTGCACCAAAAGAGGCTGGTTGCAGAAGACAATAAATGGGAAGAATCATATGGCCTCTGGTTTTCCATTTTCTATTTCTAGATAAAAAGACCACTGGAGCCTCACAATGAACCTAAAGCTACTTTCAGTTATCACAGGGAACTTGTCGCATTTCCGGGACATTAGGACACCATCAATCATAAACCTGAAAAAGCTGCAGCAAAGCAGCACAGGGACATCCTTTTGCATTGTGGTTAAGGACATGGGTTTGAATCCTGGATTTTAACAGTTACCTGGGCATGACTATCCAAATCTTAAATCTCCATGCTCACTTTCCTCATTGAGAAATGGAGCTAATCATTCTGACTACTTAATAAAGTTATGAGGAGATTCACTGAGATAATTTACATGTTAGAATTTAACACAGCGGTTACCACTACCTCTTATCATCATCACAGCTATCATCATTATTAAACAGTATCTTCATTTTCATTCATTATCCCCCTTTCCCTTCAAAGTTCATTTAAACAGGACTCAACTCATTGTTTAGTAATTAATTATTTTCATTCATTTAATGAAGTATATATTTTATGTACATTTAAGAAATGTCAGCACTATGCTAGGAGCTAGGTACGAAGGTGATCAAAACCTGAAAGCAATTCAAGGAGACAGACATGAGTGGAAGATACCCACAGGGAGTGAACTCTTTCTAGTTGTACGCAGAGCTTAGAAGGAGCAGATCAGCCTAAGACAGACTAAAACAAACGAGGTAAGTTAAACTTGCGGCCTAGAACAAGAGAATGAGACAACCAAGGCATCAAAGGAAGGCTTTTTAGGGGAAGAGAATAAACTTTCAAAGACATGGCTGTTACTGAAATCTGGTACAAAGCTACAGTGAAGGCTTGCATCATTGCTGGAATATATGTCAAGTATGAAAAATATGCCAGGCACAGTGCATGAACTGTAACCTCATTCTTATCTCCTAATACCTAATCCTCTGTTTATACCCCACAAGCGAGGTACCAATGGCTCACTCAAGAGGCTGAGATCTGAGGATGGTGGTTCAAAGCTAGCCTGGGCAGGAAAGCCCATGAGACTCTTATGTCCAATTAACCTCCAGAAAATCAGAAGTGGTGCTGTGGCTCAAGTAGCAGAGCATTGGCCTTGAGCTGAAGAGCTCAGGTCCAGTTTCCAGGCCCAGAGTTCAAGCCCCACAACCAACAAAAAAGAAGGAAGGAAGGAAGGAAGGAAGGAAGGAAGGAAGGAAGGAAGGAAGGAAGGAAGGAAGGAAGGAAGGAAGGAAGGAAGGAAGGAAGGAAGGA